GTTTAGTCGTTTAGTCGTGTCCGACTCTTCATGACCCCATGGACCAGAGCACGCCAGGCACTTCTGTCTTCCACTGCCTCCCACAGTTTGGTCAAACTCATGCTGGTAGCTTCGAGAACACTGTCCAATCATCTCGTCCTCTGTCATCCCCTTCTGCTTGTGCCCTCAATCTTTCCCAACATCAGGGTCTCTTCCAGGGAGTCTTCTCTTTGGCTTAGTCATGCCCTAAATTTGTTACTTAATGTGCATTGCTATGTGCATTGTAGAGTAAGTCTGTTGGGAAAAGGACTAAAGCAAATTGTAGAGAGACATTTGTTTCATAAAGGTTCTATGATCTCACAGTAGGGGAGTAGAGAAATGTACAATGTAATGATGACATATTGCAAGAGAGTGCATTTTACATCCCAAAAGTATGGACTTAGCACTGGGGTACCATTTTTAGTGACAACCCCACATAGATAGGATGCAAAGAATTTTCACCTGTTTCAGTTTTGGGATCAGGTTTAGTGTTTCAAGGGAGAAAAGATTTTCCTCTAAAACCTTTGGACAAGCAAATACAAGTGATCCCAGACAAGTGTGGTGATGACATCACTAGGGCTTCATTCTTCTCTCCAGAGTATTCCAAGGCAATTACAGGTGATAACATTATAGCACTAGATAGCCAGTGAGATCCACCTAGAGGCTGAGGGCAAACAAATGTGATTTAAAATGAGGGCAATGCTTCCTGGTCACATGGATTGGTCACAGACATCACGGCAAATTATTCTGACATGAGAGCAATGTTTTCTGAACAGACAAATAGTTCCCCCTTTTTGTAAACTGGAATGTGTCCTCCTTTAAGTGTGATGATGCCTCTTGCTTGCCAACATGGAGAAATGTGCACATTTGAGTTTGTGTGTAGAACTGCCAGACACTGTATGAGTGACTGGAATGTAGCCTATAGTCCAAAAGAAAGAGCCTAGCTTAGTTCCTGGCCAAAGCCACCATTAGCTGCAGCCCCCATGTGGGAATGAGTAGCTCAGGCTGAAATATATATATATCCAGTTCTATCCTGAAATACTTGAGATCTGGTTACCTGAAGGCTTACCTCCACCCATATGCCTCCCAGACATTAAGATTAATGTCTTGGGCTTTGCTCTCTGGCAAGTTATTAAAATATGTCAGATTGATGAGTACCGGGAACAGGCTTTGGTGGTGGTAACCCCACATTCATAGAATCCATTCTCCTTAGAAATGTATGTGGGATCCATCATTATTAGTTTTTCTTTTTAAACTTTAAAATCTTTTAAAATTTCACTCTTTTTTTAATTAATTGCAGTCCCTAGCATTAATTTGAACTGTTCATGTTAAAGTGTTTTAGGGCTATGATTTTATAAGTTTTACTGAGAACTGCACGCCACCTTGTGACAGACTTTTGTGTTATAATAATTTAATAATAATAAATTATTATTTATGCCCCGCCCATCTGGCTGGGTTTCCCCAGCCACTCCGGGTGGCTTCCAACAAAAGATTAAAAATACATTAAAACACCATTCATTAAAAACTTCCCTAAACAGGGCTGCCTTCAGATGTCTTCTAAAAGTCAGATAGTTGTTTATTTCTTTGACATCTGATGGCAGGGCGTTCCACAGGGAGGGTGCCACTACTGAGAAGGCCCTCTGCCTGGTTCCCTGTAACCTCACTTCTCGTAGTGAGGGAACCGCCAGAAGGCCCTCGGTGCTGGACCTCAGTGTCCAGGCTGAATGATGGGGGTGGAGACACTCCTTCAGGTATACTGCTTAGAAATCTTAGAAATTAGAAATTTATATTTTAAATAAAATAATATGGTAAGTCTACATCTTTTAAGTACAGTGGTACCTCGGGTTACATACGCTTCAGGTGACATACACTTCAGGTTACAGACTCCGCTAACCCATAAATAGTACCTCGGGTTAAGAACTTTGCTTCAGGATGAGAACAGAAATCATGCGGCGGCGGCATGGCAGCAGCGGGAGGACCCATTAGCTAAAGTGGTGCTTCAGGTTAAGAACAGTTTCAGGTTAAGAACGGACCTCTGGAATGAATTAAGTACATAACCAGAGGTACCACTGTACTAAAAACAATTTGAATACCTTGTATTAGCAATGGGTGAAGTTTAAAGATTTAAGGCTTGTTCTCACATCACTAGTAGATTTTGTTTGATGCTAAAGTGAGATTATAATGGAGGAATTTTTGTCTCAGTGTTTCTTCTCTTACACTGAAATCCCATGCATGTCTATCCAAAAGGATATGTATTGCACTTACCTCTGAGTACATAGGCATAGGATTGTGCTGTTAGGCACTAAAGAAAAACCATGAGTCAAATTATCATTCAAGAAAGAAAGAAAAGTTAAGAATGAGACTGATGAATTAAAGGTCTAATTCTATTCTCTTTTGTGTCATGAGGTTGTCTCCAATTATGTTTGACTTAGTATAGACTTATTAAAGTTAAATGAAATTAGGTTAGATGTGTATGTTAATTTCAGATGGTCTACTCTAAGAAGGAATGGAGGAGAAATCATTTTTTAGCTCATGCTTAAAGATGAAACTGCCAAATCTGCACTTTTTGAAACACACAAGCCAAAATGTAGCCATTCAGAGAAATTCACACTTCTCTGAATTTTGCAGTCCAGTTCTCCAACCAAGTAATGTGTGCACTAAATGCATGTACTAGGTTAAAGTGTACTGAATAAAAGTGGCTAGTATGCTAAGTATGGTTAGCACTGGATGTGACCTGTGCTTTTTAGATTTTAAGTGTCAGGGCAGGGAAAGTCTTATTATTGGTATTTGTAAGTCACTCTGAGATCTGTATTTTAGCTGAATAGTGAGATGAACATTGTTTACATAGATAAGTAAATGCTTCTAAGGATGTGTCTGTACCAGCTGGTCAAAGAAGGAGACAGGATTTGACCTGAGTCAAGGATCACACCAGAAACATCCATATAAAGGTATCCAATTAAAAAATAAACCAGAGGAGCCACCATCACCCACATATTAATTAGAATGAGTAAGTCTTCCAGCATAAAGGAAACTTGAATGTTTTTCTCAAAATTAGCCACTGGAACTATACATGAGTAACAGTATCAAATGAAAATGAACAGTGTATCCTCAACTCCAACAATCCTATAGAATGGCAGGGCCTTTTCTAATTATGTATAGGCCTAATAAAAGAGTGCAGAATCATGCACTGGATGCATTAGACTTGTTCAAGAAGTTGTATTTTAAGAAATGTTGCTTTAAGGTCAAAACTGGAAGTGTTACTATACATCTGAGATATTGGCACTAGCAAAATGTTACCTATAATTGGGTCTTGTGAGGATTATACACCCGATGCTTAAATAACACTTCAGCAATATAAAGTGGAGCAACATATACGAAATATGGGGAAGGGAAAATATATTCTCGCTTTGCACTTGTACCTGGGCCAACTTGCGTGTTTCAAAAATATGCTCAGAATTGTCTCAGAACAGATAAGTTAGAAGTCTGACTGAAGCCAAGATAAAAGAACCAAATCATAAGATTAATGCATTCTCTTTACAATTAACAGTACTGACGCTGTGAGGTACAATAATTCTGAAGATGTCATATGACCAGCTACTAATTAGGACAGTGAATCCTGCCACTAGGCTACTAGAAGAAGGTGCCAGAAACTTTTCAGCATAAAAACCTCTGGGTTTCTGATTCCAGAAGTCAGATAAGTCTCAAGCATAGACAAAATTACATTGGCTGATTTCAGTAGCACACGACGGGAGAATTTTGTGACCTGATGAACCGTACAAAGCCCACCTTTCATATAATAAAACTCCTATTCCTGCTGCCTCCTGGGGCTACAAAAACAGGGGTTGAAAAACACCTGGCAGGTGCCCATGTTTGCTTAGTAGGCTGAGTTTGGCTTGGGTCACAAATGACCTGGCTATATAAATAAGGGACTATTCAGCTATTTGTAGATCTGAAGTCTTGCAGATCTGCCTTAGTAAGCTGTTTCTGAATGGCTTATAGCCACAGAAAGTGTTGGGAAGTATCTGCCTCCAGAGAAACTGCCTCTCTTTTTTTCTTGATGTCCCTCTTTGTTTCCTCAGCAGTGAAATAAACAGCTTATTCCATGGTTTAGACCCATCTGATCTTTGACATTGTGTCATACTGTACATGACAAATGAATTTTTCAAGTTCTTGGGACAATAAATCCAATAATTCATTCACAGCTCTGACACTTGCTCTGTCACCCAAACTTAGGGACTTGGCTACGCCAAGTTCTTTTGCATGATTTATGGAATTGTTTTGCTGGGACTGGAAGGTCATGGGTCCCTTGAATTAACTGATTGGATGACACTGGAACTTTATAGCTGTCTTTGTCATCCTTCGGTCTCTTTGCCTTATGGTCATTTATCCTTTTATTCCCTTCAGCCTCTGAGCTTTTTTGCAAGGCAGTTGTCACATCCTAATTTTTATACAGGAGTGAGTACAATGAAGTCTTGAGAAATGGCACAAGTGAAATTCTTGCCTAAGAAACATTCCCAAATATGAAGGAATTTACACTATATGCAATTATAATATAAGACTAATATGTTGTTAGGACTACTTATGTTTTCATTTGTTTTGTAAGTGCAGCTTCTGATTATGTGCACAGTGCTGTTGTTGTTGTTTAGTCGTTTAGTCGTGTCCGACTCTTCGTGACCCCATGGACCAGAGCACGCCAGGCACCTCTGTCCTCCACTACCTCCCACAGTTTGGTCAAACTCATGCTGGTAACCTCGAAAACACTATCCAACCATCTCGTCCTCTGTCGCCCCCTTCTCCTTGTGCCCTCCATCTTTCCCAGCATCAGTGTCTTCTCCAGGGAGTCTTCTCTTCTCATGAGGTGGCCAAAGTACTGGAGCCTCAGCTTCACGATCTGTCCTTCCAGTGAGCACTCAGGTGCTGTAGATAAAAGTAAAAACATCATGATCAGCACAGTGCTGTAGATAAAAGTAAAAACATCATGATCTACTCAGTTCTAAATAACGATGCACGTGTGTAAAAATGAAGGTGACAAAGGCTGCATACTTAGGAAGAGCTCCCTCTGTTTCATGAACTGGGCTGTGTCCATTAACAGAAAGGCTTTATTTTGTGGACAGCCATTTTGATACAGTGCATAAAGTTCTTTTCTTGGACATACAAAGTACTAGTTCAAATCCTCATCCTGCCTCGAGGCTTCAGGGAAGTGTTGCGGTGAGTATAAAGTCTTGTAAGCCCCATAGGGGAAGAGTGGAATACAAATGTAACACCTAGTTATGAGAAGAAATACATTATTTAAATCAAGGATAGATGATCAGCAGGATCAGGATGGAGGGATCAGCCTCCAGATCCTGCCCCGCCCCCGAACACTGTTCATGCTGGTTGGGGCAGAAGGGATCTGGAGTCCAAAAACATCTGGCAGCACCATGTTGGCTACCCTCCCCAGCTTAGTTCAAAATTTAGTCCCAGGCCCTGTCAGAGAGCATTTGAAGGGGGAGAAATCTCCACTCCTATACAGACTTACCTGGAATCATGTACTCTTGAACACGGGGAGGGGGGGTTACGTCTGAGTAGATATGTATAGGATTTCACTGTTAAGGTATATTCTGTGTGGAGGCCCCTTCACAAAAACAAGAAATAAGCCTGAGGAAAATGAAAGGGAAAAGTCACTATGTGACAAATCTGTTCTATCCTAAATGACTGCAAAACATATCCTAAGTGACACTGAGCCAAACTTATGTACTTTTACAAGCAAAAGTTAGGCTTGGTGTACACAGCCATTTCTATAAACAATTTTCATTTCCTTGAGGGCAGCTGTGTCTAATACCTTGTACAGCATTCTCTGGAGAGAGTAGCCTGTACTTTGTCACTGCTTTTAATGATGTGAGATTATTTTATTTCCACTGACATTTTGTTCAGAAGGAGAGAGCTGGGGGGAAGAAAGATTTTGAGTTTTCTCCCCTTGACCATTTGGATAGTGGTGACAGGAGAACTTGTACCACTCAGCCACCTTCCACTCTAATAATAATAAAATCCAAATGCTGCCCTAAAGTAATCCTATAAGCAATAACATTGGAAAAAATAGGCGGGCAAACTCAAAAGAAGTGAAGAAAGGTTGATAACATGATTAACAACAGATTTTTATTTGGGGTGGGGGGTGGGGGAGATCTTTGCTATGATTCCAGTTCCCCAATGCTAAAATCTCCACAAAGAGAATTCTGTGTGTCCTTTATGAACTCTCTACATTTGGGTTAATGCAAGAACTACATTTTAACAAGGCAAATGTTTCCTGACATTTCACACCTGGGCCTTCAAATGTTTTCACACCCACTTGATCGCTTTTTACAGTTGCTCATGTGAAAAAGGACTGGAAGAGTAGAAGCAGACTCAAGGTCATTCCCTGCCTGGAAACATATATCCAGAGCAGAAAATATAGCTTGAGTTTGGACTGAGTTTTTAAAAAATATATATGCTAAAGAAAATTATTAGTGTGAAGTTGGACTGTTTAATGGCCACCATTTTAAAGCGAGGTGAGCTCATTTGTCAGTAAGTCTAAATTAGCTGTGCCAACTGTGTCATGTAAAACTGTAGGCATCTGGCATAGGTACTAATATCTCAGCATGCAACCAAGGCATTCTAATACCAATTACCTCAGCTTGCAATACTGCCTTGCCAGTCAAAAATGCTCGCCTCACACATATAGGGAACACCATTAATTTTTCTGCCTTACACTTTTCATCTCCCCTCAATACAGTGAGATGCACTGATGGCATTTCATTTTTATTCCACCCAATTAAGAGTTCATCAACAATCTCCAGAGAGTTCAGAGGATAAATAAAAGGACTTTGCTAAATAAACAAGCACTTTCTTTGGAATCAGCCAGTTATTAGCTAAATGGAATCCATGCCCAGAGTTCATTATGTTCGCACAAATTTAAAGAGCAACAAACACTCCAGGCAAACATCTCTAGAAGTTGTACTCCATCCCTGAGTCAGTATTTAAAATTAAATAAATTAAAGCAGATAATATTGATTTTGAAAGGGGGGAAACGCTATTTTTTGTTTTCTTATGCAGTAGACTTGAACAGAAAATTGAAAAAGTATGGTGGATATCTATTGTGCTGGTTTTCAGTTCTTTCCTTCTAATTATATATAAAAGTGCTATTATTTAAAATATATGACCTCATCAAAGCCAACAGGATGCGTGACATAAATGGGAATGCACCTATCAGTCTGATAGGTGTTTAGTAGCTCTCTCCTTGACTTCACTGGCACAGTTAAGTAATTTTGGACTCTGGAGTTTGAACTTAATGGTCTTGTGTGGGTGTCATTTTCAGATGTTGACATGTTTTACTTCACTTACCTCAAAAAAGTGATTCTGCTGTCTGGGGGCCAGAACACAAAATTGGGGTCCATGAGCAAAATTGGGCAGCCTAAAGTTGCATTTTATGCAAATTGTTTCTTAATTATGCAAATTTAGTTGGAGTTGGGGAAATGGTTAAGCACATTTCCCATCCCAAACAGAACCTCCCAAAGTTGCTTAATAAGCAACACAAGTACTGTAGGTTTAGGGGTTTGTTTGTTTTTTCAGGGAAGTGTGAGGGGGCTGAGAAGTTGATTGCAGTGGGAGTAATTAACACTTTCTTTCAGCCTGTTTGTGCAATTAAGACTTATGAGTTGTCCCCTGCTCTCTCCACCTCACTAGCAATTCATTTCTCCCTCTATTTCCTCTTCCATAGTGCTGCTGGAATTGACTTCACAATGCATGAAAGAAGATTAAAGTTGGAAAGATCATTCAAGACTCCTTTCTTTATTTGTAGCTCCCTCCCTGCCCTGGTTACACTGAAATCCTAGATTTCTCCATTATTCCCTCTCATCAGCTAATTTCTTCTACAAAGAAGACAAAAACTGGTTTCAAAAAGAATCAGAACGTCTTTTGGGTAAGCAATGAGTGTGTCAGTATACGACACACAGTGCTACTTCTCTAAACGTTAGTCATTGGCTAAGAACAATAAAGAGTTGGGGAAGTCTTTTTTCTCACAAAATAACTGGCATAATTCAGGCAATTATGGTACCCTTAGAATAGTTTCCATAAAATTGTCTGTGTGCCAGCAGATGGGCTCAGAAATTAACTCTGTATTCCTGCAGTGATAGTTTAGAGTTTCGGGCCCAAGCCTTATCTTCATAAATAGTTGCTCTAGTTCTAAACTGCAGAAGGTGCTCTCCCACCCTCCTAAAATGTGGTTTGCACAATATTGTGGATAAACTGCAGTCACCTTTGATTCATTATGACATGATTTGGAAACGTTTGCCATTACATATTTTAACTTGACTTGGGCCCTGTGTGAGCCAGAAACTTGACTTTCAAAGATGAGTGTTGGGGCTCTGGGGGGCTGAACATAATCCTGCGTAGGCAACAGGAATTAGCCTTTGAGGGGAGCCTGAATGGGGCTCACTCAAACATTAACTAATATCCAATATGGTATGCTAAAGACTTTCCCTTATTTTTATTTCATGAAAGACAGAAAGCTCCAGCACTGCATTCTCATTGTGCTTTATTTCTTGGCCCAACTATAATTTAAAAACAATATGGGGATAGTTTTCTGTTTTCCAAATTTTAAATACCCTTCTTTCTTATTTATTAGAGGAAATGTGGTCCTATAATGGATGCAGCAGCAGCAGCTCTACTTAACTGCAGTTGGTGCAGATGTAGTGTAGCATCACACAGGATGGGTATTATGACTTACACATTTCTGACAGGTCCTGAAGCCTGTTGCCATGGTGCCAGCTTGGATTCTAGGGCAGAACTAAACAGCCGACTGTAACTCTTTTCATTTCCAGCTGTTACTGTGCTACAGCCTGTTTTGTCATAGCATCAAGGATTTTTTTAAACCAAACTCCATAAACATGGACTGCATCAACTTCACAAACGCACATGTTTTCCCGCAGTTCTTCTATAATTTCAGCACTTCCAAAATGAGACGCACCATAAAATCAATGAATACTTTCTTCCATCCCTCTCTAGTCAACACTGCATTTGCCCCTAAAGCACTCAATGCAACTTGATAGGACAAAACTATGTATCAGTCTGTACATGTTCAGCTATTATAGGCCTTTCCCACTGGGTATTAAAACATGCCTAAGTCAGCTGCTACTGGGACGTAACAATAAGTGGGACGAGGGGACACAGTGTACATTGTATAACTGTGGAGAAATCCATACCATCCATATTCCAGAGCTTCTGTGGGCAATGGCAGTGCAGTGACACAGGCAAACATAGGGCTACTTCTGAACCCTGTGACTGCACAGGTTGTAGCTATTCCATGAGAAGTGGGGGGGGGGGGGCAGACATACAAGCAAACCAGACAACCTATCCTCTCCTTGTTAGTTTCACTGGTCACCACAGAGTGGATATCATTTCCCTCCCATCCTACTACCTCCATTAAACAGCACTGTGACCTTTGGGAATTTATAATCTTTCCAACTTGCTCCCTATATTGGTTAGAATGGTGTCACACTCAGGAATGGTGAGAATAACATCTCTCTATCCAAATTTTCTAAAGGGAATGATGCTTTTGCCTACAGTTTTAGTAAGGAACAAGTTTGTGGGACAATGGTTTTAGGGAAGAAAGCTACTTCTCCCATGAGAGAAAATAAAAATAACGCTGGTCCACAACAAATTTGTTGTCTGCATTTTTTCAGTTGATTTAGGACGAATCTGATGCGCTGAATCCAAAAATCACATTGGTTTTGCTCAATCAGGTCAAGTTTTTGAGCTATGGCCACATGTTGGTTTTTTACGTTTTTGTTCACATGTACGCTTGTGTGGAGCATTTTAGAAGAAGTTGGTGGGGGTAAAATGCCATGTCGAATAATTGTTTTGATTGGAAATGATTATTTTAATGACAAGAAGTATTCATGTCCGATAGTTCTGGGTGATTATGTCGAAAAGGGATCAGTTTGAAGTCATAAAACCTTGAAATTTCCATAAATTGGTGCGGCAAAGCATAAAGTTGGGGGATCAAAACTAAGTTAATGGGGCAGCCGCCCCATGAAGTATCCTGATCTTCAATCAGCACGTTGTCCTGTAGCTCATTGTGATGAAATTCCAGTGCCTATCTTTGGAGAACTTCCTGACATTAGTGACGAAGATGCCTCCAGCGTTGAAGGACATGAAGAAGAAGAAGTGGTTCTTGAAGATGATGCTCCACATCCATTTTCTCAAAAGGAGTTGAATGATCTAGTTCGCGACCTCAACTTGTCAAAGGACTCTGCCGAACTGTTGGCATCCAGATTGAAGGGGAAAAAACCTCCTCTCTGACAGTGCTCGCATCAGCTTCCTCCGCAACAGGCATCAAGAGTACCTCCGTTTTTTCTCGGAAGAGAAGGACTTGGTGTACTGTGCAGATATTGCGCAGCTTCTGCTCAAGCTTGGAGTGCCACAGTACGAATCCAAAGATTGGAGACTGTTCATTGACAGCAGCAAGCGATCACTGAAATGTGTTCTGCTACACAACGGCAACCAGTTTGCCTCTATACCCCTGGCTTACTCGAGTACACTGAAGGAGAACTATGAAGCGGTGAAGTATGTGCTGGAGAAAATTGGTTATGATCAGCATAAGTGGTTTATTTGTGTTGACCTGA